GGCTCAAAGAGAGGAGCCACCTGAAAAGAAAAGTGAGGAGAGGTGAGAGAGAATGAGGAGAGGTGAGAGGTGGGAGGTGAGAGAAAAGAAAGATCGAGAAGAGAACCCCGGACAATCACAGAAAGGTAAAGTACACAAGAAAAGGCCAGCTCGAATCTCCCGGGGGGGTTTTCTCCGAGTCCGTCACTACACTTTGGCACTTTTTTTGGGGCACTTTTGACTCTTCTCTTCTTTTTTTTTTTTATCTTTCTGGAATTGATAACAATGGTTATTGAGTTGTACTTGTTCAGCTGGATTTGAGATATAATATTAATAGCTGTGATAGCTGTTCTTCGCTCTCATCCGGGGACGTACAACGGTATTCCATTTAAGCCCAGGCAATCGCAAAGCATTTATAAGCAACTTTAAGAGTAACTGAATTCATACATAAGTTATAATTTATACTCTTTTATATCACTAGAACTAGATTCTGCACGTGGCCACAGTGCGGTAAGTGGCCAATTGATGATGCACGTCACTGTGGCTACGGCTTGGTATATATATGTATCAATGCATACCTACATAGTTAAGGGGATTTGTGATATTTAATGATACGATCTGCTTTTGCAGCCCTACCAAAGAGACAACTTCTCCGTAAAGCTTAACTTGGATTTCTAATAGCTGAATCTTATGGATATTCATTTGGATCATAGGTGCTATGGTTGACCTTTTCGTAGACTTTGTTGGATATATATAGGTCTAGGTTATCCACTGTGGCAAAATCTCCATGTCGAATACATCAGATAGTGTTCGTCTGAGTTCGACTGTCTCGAGTGTTGACCTTCTTCAGCTGGGCTTTGGGACCATCTCTTACCGAGAAAGGGTGTCACCCTATCATGATATACGATTGGACCTTCAAAGGGTCCTAGATTATATACTAGGCGAATATTTATGGGTGTTAGGGACTATATAGGTGAAAGACATCTCCCGGCAATGTCTCATAGCTTTTTTGGGATTATTTATAAGGCAGCTTTTTCGATATCTTATTTGATATCCCGATCTCTGCCTCGGCAAGCTGTTGGATTCCTGTATCAACTTGGCAGGAGACACGAACCATAATTCGGCTTCGTGAAATTCCTTGTTCTTCTGATCTTGTCCCGAAGTACGTATATATTGCTCCATTCTCACCAATCAAACCAACAAAGTACTAACATCAGCAGCAGTCGGTTATTTGTTTACTTGGGCGCGCTACCAGCCCAACTATTTGCATGCTCATTTGCCAAAATCCAACAAGTGCCTGGCATCTACGAGTGTCCTTGGCTGGGCTTTACAAGCTAGAATCGACTGATTGTAGTCTAGGTAGAGAGTTTTCTCTCGTTGCTTAGATACTAGAGAATTTCTTTCTTTGCCAATCTTCAGAAAAGGAAGCCTCACTGGCTACAATCTGGACGTCTGACAGGATTCCTCTCGGAGGTTGGCTTTGCATGCGGGCCCGGCCGCATTCCTGTGTGGTCTCGCCGGTTGGATTGTGGACATGGTGGAGACATACTAAGTCAGTGCGGTTGGGAAGGTTATTCAGCAGAATTGCCATGGTATAGATAACATTCTATCTTGGAATTGGCGATCTCGGTCTTTGAGTTGGGGTATATGGAAGCTAAATGGAACTGGGAGATCTTCACGGCGTTACTCGACAACTGTACGTGATTTTAAGCGAAAGCGAAATGTTATAGATATCCAAGTAGGTAACTAGTCAATTGACCCAAATAAGAATGTAAGAGCCACATTATATAATTAAGAGTCGCCAGACACAAAAAGAAGCGCATCATGACAGACAAGACGGCATGGGTATCTAGCAAACGAGTGCAATAGCAATACCTCCAAAAGAATATGAACCCAACCATTGACAATAGAAGAAAATAATGTAAAAGAAATATGTATCGGCGTCGCGGGCCCGCCACGAGAAGTATGTGCATTAATTGGCCTTGACGAAAGGCCAGCCGTTTTCCCAGCCGAGAACGTTCCACCCGTACCTGTAGTTCGCGTTGTCGGATTTGGTGGTGCTCTGCTTGAGGTCAAGAGGGTAGTAGTGGTAGTACATGACCACACCGAGGTCCTTGTCATTGACAACACCAGGGCCACCGGGTCCGAATACCTGACCGTGGCTGGAGAGGAGCATGGTGCCGCCGGTCTCCTTGCAGGACTTTCCATCGGCATCAACCTATTAAGATAAGAATGTTAGAAACGGTGTCTTTGGGAATGGACGAGAAGATTGGGAAGCGTACAAAATCACCAAGGCCAGTCGAGGATCGGCAAACGCGAATGTGGTACTCAGCACCCTCAGCCGGGAATGTCTTTGTGTACTGGCCCGCAATACCAGCGGAGTAGAGGAGGTAGTAGTAATCGCCGTGCTTGAACTCGTATGCGCCCTCTTCGCGGTGGTTGAGGGTAGCATTCCAGGAGATTTGGTAGGGAGTTGCGCCGCCAACTTGCAGAGGAGTCTCCATCGGAACCTGGAAGATATCGCCCCAGAAGGAACCAAAGTTCATGTAGTTCTTGCCGCCGATGGTGATCCAGGCGGGATCGATACGGTTGTAGTTGTCATTTGCAGGAAGACCAACCGAGCCGTGATCTGTCCAGCTGCCAGGTTCCATGGTCTTGGATGTTGCTACACCGATCTGTGAATTCTTTGTGCCGATCTTTGACAGGACGTAGTACATATAGTACTGGTCGTTCTGGTAGTGGACATCGGGGGCCTATAAGGTGGATTATGTTAGCTACTAAACATGGATATAATTTCTCCAGCATTTTAAGGTCTTTTCTTACCCAGATATTCGTGCTGTCCACGCCATCGAGGGTAATCTTAGACCCATCTGGCAACGCGGAACCAAGGTCCGTCCATGGACCCTTCACCGAGGGCGAGCTATGAGTGCTGACACCCGTGCCCGTCGAAAAGCGGTAGTATTTCCCATCAGACACACGCTGGATCATGGCAGGGTCATGGGCCCAGCAGTTGCCTGTGCAAGGACCCCGGTTGGGGTATGCGCTGGCGAGCGCAGTAAATAGAAGCGGGATGAGACCAAACATTATGTATAATGTATAAACAGAAGGCGGATTGGGCTGTGAATAGAAAAACACCCTGAGAAGGAGGAATTACGTCCAATTTATGTTGATTCAGTCTACACCATTCGCAGCTCCCCTAGGTTGGGGCCGAAGTATGACCACTTCGCATATCAACAGCTAATCCAATCATCGGCCGCTAACCCCTGCACATCGTATCTGGGCGATGTAAGGTGCATATCAGTATTGAGTCTGGTCTAACTGTAGTCGGCCCCGAAAGGGATGAGCTCATTACCGAGCTCCAAGGAGTCTTGCTCGTGTGGATCCTCAAATAAAAAGAAAAAAAACAAATGTTTTTTGGCATAAACAAAGCATTACCATAGTGTAGAGTGTATGCACCTACTGTATACAATATAGAATTTTTTAAATCTTTGTGATGTCTCCCATTGTACAAGGCGCAGTCAACACAAGTTGTGTTAGCTTCACTCCATTTGATCTTCTGCATATCTCCCCCACATGAGTTACATTTATGACCATCTGACCCAAAAGTCTAGAAGCTAAAGGTCTCGGCAGTAGCCTCGGCACTACAACTAGGAACGGGATAGCAGATGTGTTGTTCGCTGCAAGTGTATGCTGGTTCCACATTCCCATCAGCAAGGGAGAGAGCATATCATAACACTATTGAATTTATGCAAGAGCTTCAAGAGAGATCAAGTCTATTTGAAAATTTTAATTCCGATCTTCTACTCTTGTTAACTTTAGACAATGAAAACTGTAGAATACATCACATCCCATTAACTTGCGTGGGCTTGAGTCTTGTTTACGCCAGGTAGATGATCTGCACCCATGTGGACCAACCGTGGACGATATTAAACCAATCATCTAGAGGTTCTATGCGTGGAGATCCAACACTAGCTCAAATAGTATTTGAGATTGAAAGAAGCTAAAGAAAAGAGTGTGTGTCATGCGCATTCATCAAAGTCTCTCTTCATCGAAAAGCGGGGGACTTCGCCATATTGACAGTGAATCGCATCAGGTGTTAAAAGACATATTCACTTGATCTGGCCCGAGGAAATGGTTTATTCAATCTGCACGACGAAAACAAATTCTCCGATATCACACGTCATCCGCGCTATAACTCGCCTGGTCAGACAACCGTGCTGTTGAGCCCCTTTGGGCCTCGCTTTGGGCACAGCGCCCGATGGTAGATACGTTGGTTTTAATCTCAGTAGGGTTTCTCTCAAGTAATCACGCTGATGCCAAGAACACTCGGCTAGGCTGAGTTTCAATGTATACATGTAGCTATTGGACTTACCGCTAGTTATAATGGAGATCGGCGTCAAAGTAAGGCGGGGTTGATCTGTGGACGGACTGGGGTAATTAGGGATGACTTGTGAGAGCCTCTTGGAAAGTCTGATCAATCAGCATTGCACTGCCGGGACAGGGCTGAGCTCTGCTAAGAATATCCACCCACCTGGGAAGAGTAATGAGGACAAGCAACGGGCGTAGAGACAATGTTGCTTGTTTCCTACTCGCATCTTTCTATATTTTTGTCAGACCATCTGTCAAATTTCGATTTATCTAATTCATCAGAATCATCACCGTCTTATATATATTGGCGGATCGCACATTTTCACGTATTGCTGCCAAGGTGAACCAGAAACTAAGCTAGATGTGTGCAAGATCTATTGATTAATAAAGAATGTAGGACCATCAATAGAGCGAAATTGAGCTTAATTGAAATATTCTAACAGACACGTTCACATGCTGTATGACAACAAGATGATAAATGCGACGAACATTTGTGATCCTCGATGTTAACATAGATCACAGCCATATCTGCTCATCCAAATATCATCTTCTCATTCACCCCTGCCCCCAAGATCTTTGTATTCCTGCGCTTGGGTCAAAGACCCCCACCAACTCCTACGTGAGCACCAGCCCTTCCTAGCCTATGCACAGGCTTAGATATCACGAGCTGAACCATATTCCGGGCCTGGCATGGTAGTCGGGTCTTGGTCATAATTCCAGCGTTGCCAATCGTACTCAAATTCCGGGTCATAATATTGAGCATTGACGAATGGACTCTCTTGTGGTACGGGATGGTTTGGTTGCATTGCTTGAGGAATGGGAGGGTAGCCCTGTTGCCAAGACCCATACGTTTGATTTTCTGTAGACTCGAGCGCGTCGTTCCTTTCGATAATTTGTCTGATCATGTTCCTCAATTCTCTGACTTCTGCAAGTATCTCTCGGAGCATTTCAGTTTGCTCACTGTCGGTAACATCCGAAGTGGACTCAAGTGAAGAGAGACGGCTTGCATTCGTGCTGCGAAGGCGAGAATAGGGTTCCGGGGTCCTGGGGCTTACGAGCTTCGGCCTTGAGGCTGAAGAGACATTCTTGATAGGGGTGTTTGGCCAAGGCTTGCCGAGATCACTGGCCTTTTTCTCCTCACTAGCCAGCCACGAACGAAAAGAATCCACAACACCATATTTCGGGGTCGGGATCGTCTCCCCGGTGAGAATTTGTCTCCACTTCGGAAGGACTCTATCCAAGACATCATCTGAGAGAAGTCGATTGCCGTGATCATCGGTGGCCAAGGCGACATTCCAGTAAGGAGATCGAACCGTCCAGGCAACGTAGCCGGTCACGTAAAAGACGTCGGGATACCTTTTCATTGCGTCTTTATCGCCCCGGGTCATCACATCCCGGATATCACGATCAAATTGCACGGTCCGGTTGGGGTCAACGACGAGATGATCATCTATACTATCTTCTTGAGCTTTCCGTGATGTCAGTATCATCTACCGATTCTTGAATTGAACAGTGTCTTTACCGTTCTCTTGCTCAGAGAGACCTTCGAATGATCCCTCTTGGCCCTCCATAGCTCCAAACTTCTGCAGCAGTCTTTCATGTGCTTTGTTATCCATGAGGATGCGGAGTTTCATCATCCACTTCTGACTACTATCCAAAGATTCGGGAACTGAGAGTTTCTCGACGTCTTTGGGAATAGAGGTTGTACCAAATGGGATCAGAAGATGAGTTAGTAGCTCTGGGATATCAGGGTGAACTGGGTTATGCTCTTCGATGTCACCAAGCCACTGGGGAAGACATGTAGCAAGTGTCGTTGCCTCGCATGTTTTGTGACCCGACAAGACCCGGAACAACAAGTAAGTGATTCTGCCATTCTCGTCTATCTCGGCTGAATCAACAGCAGGAGATGTGGTGTTCCCCACCATAATGCTGTGTTTCGAGGAGGGAAAGAACCTGGGGAAACGTGGGTGTCAAATAAATGTGATTAAGAGAGAAGGTAAGTCCAAGACGAACAGGCCAGTGTCAAGAGTAGACTTGTGTAAGTGGGCAAATGTGAGAACTGTAGTATCGCAGGAGACGCGTGACAAGATAGACAGGAGACTTTGGGAGTGAGGAACTTCCCGAAGAGACAAGTTGACACGCTATGTGTCGCCTAAAGAATTGTTAGAGACCAGATGAAAGCGAGTGGCGTGCAAAGAAATGGATTGAATACGTGACAAAAAGAGAGACGAGAGAAGGCCTATCAACCACAAAGGGAAAGAGCCCGATCAGATGAGTTGCCAGCTAGGTCGTGTAGGTTATGCAGAGGGGCAATAAGTTGATAGAAGGGTGGATGAAAGGAGAGGTAGTGTGGGGAAGGGCAGAGGAGAAAATCGTGGGAGAAGAGGCTTTGAGATAAACAAAAGGAAGTGGTTGCTATGTGAGCAGTCCTATACCCTGATGATTTTCAAGTCACATGCGAGGACAGTCCTTGTCAATCCAGTCGACTACTACGACAGTGTTTCTTTCTTGATTTACTTATACGGATATTGGATTAACTCTCTCATTGGTTTATATTGCCTTACAAAAACTAACATCGGAATTGGTTATATAGTAGTAATATTGAACCTAGATGATGCCTTATAATGCCTTAGAAAAGATATATAAAGAGACAACTAGAAAGACCCTAACAAGAACATCCAAAAAGAAGATCTAGTACGATGTCAGTATATGCTTACATATAGCTTGCCTAATATTGAAATTTAGAAGGAAACCTAAGGATAGACCTAAAGCCGTCTAGTCAGAGGTCTTTCCTTTAACAACACGGGAATTTAAGACCTGGCGTGACCTGTGAAGTATATAGGTATAAACCTTGAGAAATAAAGAGACCTTACTTCAAGAAGGCAGTGATAAAATAGGCTATAAGGCACTAGCCAATGAGAGAGTTATGTGACGGTGATCCCTATAGACGCCCGTACACCATCTTCTGATCAAGCGAGGATTAATTGCATTAGGCAGACCAAAGCCACCAGCAATAACACGCACATCATTGGTAGCAGGATCAAGAGCGGTAAACCTGACTAGGTAGCTTTGGGTTGGGGCGAATCCATGCGCCACCGGTCGTCATAAACGGCAATGTCATAGAGAGAATTGGAGTGATGGCTGTAGAAGGTATCGAGTAGCAAGGGAATCTATGGTTGCGGTTGACGGACGCTAAAACTGGGTTAAGGATAGGCCTTGTTATTCTGGGACTATATCCAAGCATATTCAAGATAAATCCACTTTGTTTCCAAACTCTACGATGTTAAATTGGACCAGCCAGATCTGGTGAGATCTAAGCATCATGCGGTGAGATTCTCCAACGTTGTGTCTTTGGACAATAAATGTGAAAAACTGGCTCATTTCTGTGGTCTTGGAGTTGAATCCATGGATGTTGAGATCGCTTAGTTATATCATGTCTCGTCTTACGGCTGCCTGATAATCCAGGCAATAACAACTTCCGACTTTCTGCCGATTTGCCCCTTTCCCCTTAATTTTTTTTTCTCAAATACATACTGTGGATCTCGGATTGTACCGCCAAGGAGGATAGATATCGAGGCTAACCTAGTAAAGTGAGATGTGAATTTGCAGAAAGCTCCATGGAAGTCATGGGATCAATCATTTGTCAACACTATTTACACAGTTCAGTTTCAGGCCAAGTCCTAGACCTCGCTTGACTGGACCGAGGATGGTGAGATGAAGATGAGGTTCAGATAATGCTCAATCTTTGAATAGAAGTTGACCAGTCGAAAAACACCCTCATGAGCCCGGACCGTCTCATCCCGTCTCACTGTGTACTCCCAATAACTATGGGGTGCAAACGCCAAAGCCATACCGACGAGGTGCTATATACCGACCCAAGTCGACCCAGTGTAAACAGACAGACTCTTATCGATTTTGTGTGTTTGCGAGAGATTTGAAATAGCAAACGGCGAGATATTGAAGGCGACCAACGGTGGCGCATATGGAAGAAAAATGCCCCGAAGCCCGCGGCCCAGCAAATCGGTTACAATGGCCATAATTCAGAAAGGATCTGTGCGAACGGTGCTTTTGCTAGGGCTCAAGGGTCTAAATTAACAGCTGCCCAACCAAGAATTTCAATGTGCCGAGTGATGTTTGGCTTGTTTCCGTCACACTTGACTCCCCGTCCAACCCTGTGCGGTTTAACCTTTTTGGGACGTGTCCGGCTACCTGCCAGGGGCAGAAGGGGGCCTGAACAGAGTGTCCAAATAATTCCCTGTTTGCTTTAATTCGATCTACTCGATAGTAATAAGAAGAATGTCCTTGAATTAAGAAAAGATGTATGAAGTAGCAATTAGTATTTAGTGAGTATTTTAAAGATAGTGGATCTCTCGTATGGAAGCCGTTAACTGTGATAAAGAGACAATATTAAATGGGGTAGAAGTCTGAGACTAGTTCTATTCTTAGGATATACCATCTGGACTAAAATGATGAGTATAGAGTATCTCTGACTCGATTCTAATTGTACTATAGTAATACTATAGTAACAAATATTTGAAGTTGTGTTGATATATACTCCGTACTCTCCGTACAAGATCAAGCCTCCCCATAAACCTGTCAAGCCGCCCCAGCCACCCGACTCCTTTTCCCAAAGACTCCACGTGCTAAACCATCAACCTCCTCTCTTCTCCATATTTCCTTCCAATCTTCCATTCCATCTTCAAGAACCTTCGGGGACCCGGTTATTCTCCGCGGTTATAATTCCCCCTCAGGTCGTGAACTTGGTTGGTCCAAAAAAAAGACCAAAAAAAAAAACTCCTGCATCTGACCCCTCCTCGGCCCAATTTCAATCTGTCTCGTGTAGAGACAGAAATCTGCCCACCATGAATCAAGACAATTTCCCATTGAAATTTCGTCGAACATCTAGCAAACTTAGCAAGGAAGCCCCTAGCTTCAGTTCGCGCATTCTTCGGAGTCATCAGAGCGCCACATCGTTGAAACGCACTCCCTCCGCCCCCGTCTATCCACGTTCCTCTCCTAGCAGCAGTCGCGAGCATAATCGATCACGATCCAACGCCCAATTCCCAGGCTCTTCCTCGTCATCTCTGGATCAGAACAGTGGCGGTCCATCGCCTTCCAACGACGAATCAAGTGGCTTCTTCTCCAATTTGACCTCCCGATCTCGCACCCGCAGTTCCAATCGTTTTTTCCTACAACGAGCAGAGCTCGGATGAATTGAACGGCCCTTACGAAACGCGGGGCATGCTTAGTGCATTGGATGAGAATAGCGCCGAGACTGATCCTCACTCCCAGCAAAAGCCCGGACTCCGCTCTCATCACACCAGCCCCGATACTCGCGGACGCCACTCACTCCGCCAGTCAGCTAGCTTCACCACTCTAACGCAACGAATGGATTCCTTTGCTCATCGCGAGACCGAAAGGCCTCCAAACGCCGCCAACCGATATTCCGGCGATGGTAATCCTCCGGCCGCTCCCCGAACGAGACAGAGCAAAAAGGCGAGCTTCTCCAGATTCGTGGACAGCGTGCTTGGAACCCCCGGTCGCAATATGAAAATTTCAGCCCCCGAGAACCCGGTTCATGTCACTCACGTCGGCTACGATAATCAGACCGGCCAATTCACCGGTCTTCCCAAAGAATGGCAGCGACTACTACAGGAGAACGGTATCTCGAAGAAGGAACAGGAGGAACACCCACAGACTATGATGGATATCATGCGATTCTACGAAAAGAACACCCGTGGCGACAGCGATGATGAAGTCTGGCACAAGTTCGACAATGCGCAAGCTGCTCAAGCTGCGCAAGCTACTAGCCCAAGAGAACAAACATCGCCACCGGGAAGTCCACGATTCCCGCAAAATCACGAAAGCAGCTTCGAGAATCCACGAGCGCCCCCGCCAATTCCTCGGGGCCCTCCGGCAGCCCCTCCGCCGGTCATGTCTCCTCCACTGGGTGGTATGGTGCCCCATCGTGCTCCTCCCAAACCGCCCACCGGGATGACCCCCTCCCGCCCTCCTCCTCAACCCCCGGTCTCGAATTCGTACGGAGTCCCACAGCGAGCTCCTCAGGAGAGTTATGCTCCGACATTTGGCACGCCGACTATCCCAGAATCCGAGCCATTGCCATCATCACCCCACCGCAGTCGCTCCAGTTCCCGAAATGGCACCCCTGCGCCCAGCGTCCCCAACATTCCCAATGTCATCGCATCCCCAACACAATACCAGCGGCAACAGGAGCAGGTCATGGCCGCGGCCCAGCAGACTTTGGAACGGAATCGCACCCAACGCCAGCAAGCACAGCAGCCTCCGGCCATTTCTACATCAACCAATGCTCCGGCACCAGATCTTTCGTCTGGAGTGTCACCTACCACGCGCGCTCCACCCGCTGCTAGACCTAGACAGCGTCAGCAGCGCCAGAGCAGCGCCATGGATATTCGGGAGCGTTTGATGTCAATATGCCACCCTGGTGACCCCACGCAGATCTATTACAACTTCAACAAAATCGGCCAAGGTGCCTCGGGTGGTGTGTACACAGCATATGAGCATCCTCACAACAACTGTGTTGCCATCAAGCAGATGAATCTAGATCTGCAACCCAAGAAGGACTTGATTATCAACGAGATCTTGGTCATGAAAGATAGCAAGCACAAGAACATCGTGAACTTCTTAGAGAGCTTCCTACATGGGCTGGATCTTTGGGTTGTGATGGAATACATGGAAGGTGGCAGTCTGACAGACGTGGTTACCTTCAACATTATGAGCGAGGGACAGATCGCAGCTGTTTGCCGAGAGGTGAGTACAGAATGATTAGTCCCGTGTCAAGACAAAACCATGAAACGCTAACCACTTCGACTAGACTCTGGGCGGTCTCCAGCATTTGCATTCCAAGGGTGTCATTCATCGAGATATCAAATCCGACAACATCCTGCTGGCAATGGATGGTAACATCAAGCTGAGTAAGTTTCGCCCCGTCTGGTGTCGAAATCATCCTAACAATCTCTAGCTGATTTCGGTTTCTGTGCTCAAATCAATGACTCGCAGAACAAGCGGAACACAATGGTTGGTACCCCGTACTGGATGGCTCCCGAGGTTGTTACTCGCAAAGAGTATGGCCGCAAGGTCGACATCTGGAGTTTAGGCATCATGGCTATCGAGATGATCGAGGGCGAGCCACCGTACCTGACAGAGTCCCCGCTGCGAGCACTCTATCTGATAGCCACGAACGGAACACCCACCATCAAAGATGAGCACAATCTGTCCCCAGTCTTCCGCGAATTCCTTCACTTTGCCCTGAAGGTTGACCCGGAGAAGCGGGCGTCGGCGCATGACCTACTGAAGGTACTTACTCGTTCCTATCTCCCATCGCTTTGGCTGCGATAACTAACATCTTGCCCTTTAGCACCCATTCATGTCTCTCTGCGCACCACTATCGCATCTCGCCCCCTTGGTCAAGGCTGCTCGTCTCAGCCGCGCCCAAGAAAAAGCCCAAAAAGGAGGTGCTTGAAGAGGATGCTGATGAATGACCACTTTTCTTTTCCTATGTTTCGGTTTTATTTCGTCGTACTTGATATCTCTTGACGTCTTGCTCAGATACCCCGTCACTTCCGATGTTTCTTCTAGATCCCGACGTGCACTACAGTACGTTTTTGGAATCCATTTATGTACCCATTCTACTTCTTTCTTCGCTTCTTCACATCGATTGTCGATGAAAATGGCTCCATTCCATGAGCACGTTGCCTGTGATAGTATCTGTTTTGCCGCTCACTGTCTCTGTATTGATCTTGGTGTCTATGTAATTTCTTGTAGTTCTATTTGCCAATTCTATTGTCGTTAGCTTATCATGAATACAAGCAGCTAATGAGGTTCCTAATGAGATTCGAAATCCACAATTTAATTCTATGTTTAGGGAGTATGTGTGCCTAAAGTAGTGGAGATATGTTCAGCCCCAGCCTGATAAGTAAATGTGGGAAGAAGAAACGGAGCAGCCTACAGAGTACTCCGTAGGGCGAAGTCCTAACTAGCGTGAAGAAAGAAGATTAGAAAAAAAAGGAGAAAGGAAAGAAAAGTAAAGTTAGAATCCCAATGCTCAGGCAGACATGATATATAGGAAAAATCTGTTCCACTTGGGATTATTCAAGCTAATAATAACTTAGCACTCTTATGTTGTAGGGACCAACATACGAATACGGGGCGACACCATCGTCATATGCTGACTCAGGTGACGAGTTCCGCCCGTACACAATAGGTACACCCCCAACACTGTCTCTGATCATCCCCAAGGACCTGATTAACAGATACCCAGCGCTGCAATACCAGTCGCTTGCTATACCATTCCTTGGCAAGGTCTAATCTCTGTGATATTCACACCGCCTGCATCAGCCCGCAGATTAGCCGCATCCTTTGCTGTCGTCGACTCCCCGCATTCCGTGCTGGAGGACCCATCGCTACGAGCTACACAACCTTTTTGAAAGAGAGCGCTGTCTTGGACACGAATTCTAATTGGAATCTGTTGCCGGACTCTCACCACGTGAAAAGAAGGCAAGCCGCCTGTCAGAAGCTGAGCAGTGCTGCCCAACTTCAATAATCCACATACCACCCGGCGATTACCTGCGACGGTCAGAGGACATATATTCGTGATGTTTCGCGCACAACAGAACCACTTCGACGACGCCGTCGGTAAGATACACCAGTCCCCGCTCCGCTAGATACACCGTGTACTCCTGGAGTTGGCCAGCTTGGAGGGAAGCTTCGGGAGCGCATTGAATCTGCTTGTGCGATGTGTTTACTGACGATATTTATTTTTGTATAGCCAAGGCGACGGATGAGAATTTGACCTCCGAGAACTGGGAATTTATTCTGGTGCGTTGTGCCTGAAACTACTACATTGAATTGTTGGAACCAGCACGGCTTTGGGACATGACTGATTCGGCTTTTATGATTTAGGATGTCTGTGACAAAGTTGGCTCGGAGGAAACAGGGTACGTGGCTAAGTTTTGATTTTCATCCTCGTCTAAGTTTACCTAAGGACCCGTTGCTGATTTTTGCTGTGATATAGTGCGAAGGAGGCTGTGGCTGCGATGATCAAAAGACTGGCCCACCGAAATGCCAACGTTCAGCTCTATACATTGGAGGTTCGTGACTGGATACTGTGCTCCTGGAAGCACAACAATTCCTTGGCGTATGGCTATAACTGACTGATTTCTAGCTTGGAAATTCATTGTCGCAAAACTGCGGGCTGAAGATCCATCGCGAGCTAGCTTCAAGAAGTTTTACTGATGCCCTACTACGCTTGGCGAACGATCGTGTAAGCACATCTCAAAACCTTCGACTTTCCTCAAATGGAAAATGTTAATCATGGATTTGTCCAGAATACGCATCAACAAGTCAAGTCCAAGATCCTGGAGCGCATGGAAGAATGGACTCAGATGTTTGCATCCAACCCGGATTTTGGTATCATGGAACAGGCATACATGAAATTAAAATCCACAAGTAAGTATCTGTTCTTTGTCTTGAATATCGTGCTTGGCTGATTATATTATAGACCCGAATTTGCAGCCACCCTCGAAACCCGGAAAGCGTGAGATCACCGATGTTGATCGTCAGATGGAGGAAGAGGAGTTGCAGATGGCCCTAGCCCTCTCGATTAAGGATAAAGCAACCCCGGCTGCTGCTGCTGCGGCAGCACCTCGAGTTGAGCCTTCGTCTGCTGCTGCTGTTGCGTCCGCGTCGGTTCCCACAAACCAAGGGGAACCTGCCGAGAGTCAACCTGCTCTCTCGGGTACATCGGTGGCTACCGTGTCGCGTGTGAGAGCGTTGTTCGACTTCCAACCGTCTGAGCCAGGAGAGCTGCAATTCCGCAAAGGCGATACCATTGCAGTCCTCGAGTCTGTTTACAAGGATTGGTGGAAGGGCTCCCTGAGAGGCCAAACTGGAATTTTCCCTCTCAATTATGTGGAGAAACTCCCAGACCCCACAGTTGGCGAGCTACAGCGAGAGGCTCAAATGGAGGCGGACGTCTTTGGCCAGATCAAGAGTGTCGAGAAACTCCTGACTCTACTGAGCACCCGCAATACAGACCTCAATGTCCAAGAAAACGAAGAGATTACTACACTCTATCAAGCTACGCTTGCGATTCGTCCAAAACTCATCGAATTGATTGGGAAATATTCGCAAAAGAAAGGTAACTAGCGAGTTGTTCGTCTTCCCACCCATGGATGTCTTGCTTACACATGTCTAGATGAATTCACCCAGCTCAATGAAAAGTTCATCAAAGCTCGTCGTGACTATGAGTCCCTCCTTGAGGCATCGCTAGCCCACCCGGCACAGCCTCAATATGGACGACCTGCCCAGCCACAGTATGGTTATCCTGGTGCTGCACCTGCTGGATACCCCTCTGCTCCTCAGGCAGATCCTCGATATTTCACTCCCCGCCCTCAAGGTTAGTAGACTTTAGAAATTACCTACTGCATTCCAGTTCTAACTTGACTTGCCCAGACACCACGCCAACCCAGGCAAATGCATACGCACCATACCCCCCTAGCGAGCAGACTATGCCGTATCGCCCGGCTTCTCACTCCCCTGATCCTCGCAACCAGGCTCAGGCCAGCACACCGCAGCAGCCCCCTCATGCCGACCCTTACCAACCTGTTAGCCACCGCCCGCAATCCACATACGACAATCCCCAAGAATTGGGGACCTCTGTCTATGATTCACCTGTCGATCACCCTGCTGCTGCCCAGCGCCTACCGTACCCTCCAACTGCTCAAGCCCCGTCTGCTGGCCATCAACAATTCCAGCAGCAGCAGCAAGACTACTCTCCCTCGGTCTACCCCGCTGATGAGGCATCCCAAATGCCGCCTGCCTCCACTGTACCCCAAATCCCGCACCAGTTCCAGCAACAACAACAACAGCAACAACCCCCGTATCCCAACTCTCCCGGTGCTCCTTCCGGTGCCCATCAGCCTCCTCCATCGCATCAGCCTCCACCGGTACCCGGGGCAGCGCAGCAGCAACAGTATACTCCATACACCCCGGCACCTCCCGCAGCAAGCACGGGAGAGTACCAGGCGTACCAGCCCCCACAGGGTGGAGCTGGCTCGAATCCAGCTTCCTTTTATCGGTAATTGATAGTTAGTCACGACGACCCTCATCCAGTTAATAGGAATAAATACCTTGACTGTGATTAATGTTGGGTTTGTAGTGTGATATTCCAAGCAGTGTCCTTCGTTTCGTTACCCCTCCTTTGCTAGATGTTTTTCTCTGTCATGTAGCTAGCCAGCGGTTTAAATATGTTGCCAATGGTATGTTAATACATATGGGCCATTGATCTCTATATTTCTGTATGTTAGTGCTATACGAGTAATGCTTCAGCAATGTCATTCCTGGGACCCTAAATTTCCTAATTTGGACAATGACAAACCAATGAGAAACATATAAAAAGTGGACCAATCAGCCAGAACGAAAAGGAGGATGGATAATCATCGTCTTCATGCCACCATGATAGATTCTCTGTCTACAGAAATTCTGTTGACCATCCTTGAATGTCTGTCCCCGCTTGACATTTTCTCTGCCACCAGGGCCTCGCCAATCTTATACCGCACCTTCATCGCCTACAAACAACATCTTCTCGGACATACTCTCCGCCAGGCCATCCACCCCGCATGTGGAGCGGACGTTCATACCGCGGTAGACGCACAGAATATCTCCAAACTTATCAAGTCCGGTGAAAGCATTGTCAAAGTCAAGGCTGAATGTTTCTCACTTTTTGCCACCGACCGCACTCGCAGGCGTCGAAATACCGACCAGTTCAGCGTGGATAATGCGAACCTCAATACGTTGTTTTACCTCCATATCAATATTGAACGCTTGATCGATATCTATTGCCACTGGTCACTGGGCAACTTGATCTCACACAATGAAAAACCAACACAGTTCCAAACGGCAACCGTCCACTCAAGAGTGACTCTGTCATCTACCGAACATGCCCGTCTTCAACGGGCGTTCTACCGATCCGAAACCTATGCGAAATTCCAGCGTGTTTTACATCTCCTTACCGACAAAAGTGTGGCCCTGAATTTCTCTCAGATTGTGTTGAGCTTCATCTCGCAATTCACTCTCTATGAATTCGAAGAGATTATCAGCGTACGACAATTCCTCGCCCAATTCATTAGATCGCTCTGCGAAAGAGTCGAGGATGATTTCATGGCTTCTTGTTCCCTCACTGATTCTGTCGACGCCGACGTCGAGAAAAAAGCTTCGGGAAATGCAGTATCAACGAAAAATCAAGACCTTGACGACCTTTCCTTCTTCACGAAGTCATACCGAGACCTCCACCACTCGGATCATGTGAAATTCCTTGTATCCTGTGGGTTACCATACGTTTTACGCCTGAGTCGCATGGAATCCCAAGCCCTCAAACACGCTATGCTCAACTCATACATCGAGTCGCGCAAGAACACTGTCATAGACTTCTTTTTTCAGGGTGGACTAGATATTGACTCGTGCGACGAGAAACAGAAAGACATCGTCCTTCGAGGTAAACTGGTCTCCATCCCCCGTGATGAAGTCGGCGGTTGCAACCTAGGCTGGAAATGGGGTACCAGCTTCGCCGAATGTGTCAAGCCCGATACTCCTGCCATGTTCGATTTGCGGAACCAAGGGTATGTCTTCTGGGATCAAGAGCGGCTACAGGAATCTGGTCTTGTCAATGAGCCATATGTGGTTCACGTCGGCACGGATTACTTTCCGCCTGGTCACAGGGGTCCGTTTCTGAGGCCGAGTGTTGAGGAGAGACTTGGTAGCTTATGGGTGGATCTTGAGGCCTTGAGGGAATTGAAAGATGAAGACTTAATGGGAGACATTTGAAGACCGAATGCCGAGTTAATGACAGGGTCCCTCATTGACAGCCGATTCTGGATTTTAGACAAAGCAGGTTGGTGAAAACGAATAATAAATAGTGAAGGAAAGGGGAGACAACACGAAGAAGTGCGAGACAGAAATTAATTATTCTCCTTAGTATCGTTTCCCTCCTGCTTATCCTTCTTTGCCCGACCCTTCTTCTTAGTTTGAGAGTCTGCACCAGAAGTAGCATTTCCCTGGCTGCTTATATTTGTCTTGAGCGACCAAAAGCGCCAGCGTGCCTGTTGCACCGTGATTCCCTCACATTCGGCAACGGCAGCATAGTTGATCTGTAACATAATGAGTAAATGCTAGAGCTTAGAAATGGGGATGAAATATGACTGACTCGAGCATCTGACAGAGTAAGGCAGTGCAGTAGGAACTCGTGGTTCTTATCAAAGCTTGCCGTTTCCCGTCTCCGCTTTGTAGGGGCCTTCTTGGGCTGAGGTGTATTCTTCGGAGTCATGGCTGAGGGTTTAAAGATGGCTTTTTGTGTGTAGATGAACTGGTTGTAGGGGGTGTGGTTCTTCTTTGTGGCTCTGGGAAAGGTTGTGGAGTGAAAAAGAACAAGGAATGACAGAAGAGGAAAGTTATATATAGGTTACGTTTGCCCGAGTTCAAACACTAACGACAAACTCATCTGAAATAAACAGATATCGAAGAAAGTAGCATCGTCTACGTGTATTCCGAGTCTAGTATATACCACATCTTTATAAGTATAGCCTTTATTTAGTTTGTTGACCAATTCGTGCTCGGAGAAAGCCCTAGAGATCTCTCATCCAAGTTATCCAGGGAGACTACCTACTGCATGACAGAGGGAATCGAAGCGGGATAAAAATTAGCATGAGACCTGACGGTCTGAAAGTTACATCCACAAACTGTTGATGCTTTGCTTTGCTTCTTTTCTATTCTCACACAAGTATGAACATGAACAACATTCCACAGTATGTGCTACGTTAACTACACGCTATTACACCGGGGATATCAAAGCTTTGTAGTATCAATCCAAGAAAGAGTCGCAGGGACTGTCACTGAGCCATTGATAGGCAAGGCCTCAGCTACCAAATTGTCAGTTGAAATCGTACGAAATGAAAAGGAAAAGTGGAGGGAAACTAACCTCCGCTTGTGGTCAAGTAAAGAACATCCTTGTCATGTTGCAGCCGACCAAAAGCACCAGCCGTCACACCCGCCAGAATGGTCGATGTGTTGCTACCGGCGACAACCTGAGCAGCGGACGACTCGGGGTAGAAGATGCTGAGTTCGTCCATCTGGTTCTGAGCGACGAAGGCCACTCCATTCTTCTTAAATATGAAATCATCGGCCTTGGGCACATTGCTGACGACAACTTCAGATTTACCAATTGCGACACCTTCGTTCGTGATGCGAATACGGCTCAAAGTGCCGGCAGCAGTATTAGTCCAGTAAAGATATCCATCTTTGATCTTGATGCCATTGACTCCAAGATTGGTGACTGGAACTGGGACAGTATCAAACTTCATCTTGTCATCGTTGATAGCGATATTGTAAGCTCCAGTTCGTGTGTCAACACGATAAACCCAACCATTGTAAACATCGGCAACAAGAATCAAGGTTTCAGATAGGGTGGTAGCGCCGTTCAGATAGTCCGAAGTGGGAATATCGACTAGCTTGGAGACAATTGCCTTGGATGTGACCTCGCCTGTCTTCTTAGAGACGGTGAAGCCTCTCATGTCGATTTCCCAGATGCTGTTGACTCCCGAAGTGAGTACAAAATTATCGTCGATGAAGCCAGAGGTTACCACGTAGAACATATCGCGACTCGTCTCGGATATGCCGAGGCAACCCTTGTAGGTCGTTGAGTTCCAGGAGGCAACTACAATAGGCTCAGTGGCGCCTGTTGGATCTAGCTGGAGAACTTCAGGGGTATCTAGCCGTGAGACAAGAATGTGGCCATTGGCGCGCACCGCGAGGTTCTCAGCCCAGGTGCCATCGCCGAAGTTGTAAAGAACATTAACACCAACGGAGGGAAGGGCAAATGTAGTAGATAGCAGGGAGACTGCGGTCAAGGCCAAGGAGAGCAAACGAGCCATTTTTGGCAGCTGTGGTGTTTCCTAAAAGAGAAGGTATAGAGGGTAGGATATATATGCGTCGGGGGGTGAACGAGATAGGAGTGTCATTAAACCTAGCAGATCACAAGCAGATCACCATGACCATCAAAAAGCAGTTAGTACAATTCTTAACGCATGCTTACGAATGCTTACTTCGTATCAAAGGTATCGAATACTCTTGACTATTGGCTGGAATTTTATGGGTCATGGAATCTTTTTAAATGAAGGAGCATCACCCCGGGCTAGCTTTCTCACTAAAATATATTGTTGTACTTTGCAGGCAACCCCGATTACTCATTATACCGCTAACATCTCAGGACTGATGCCGTCCTCCTCAATATTGCTGCATCGGCTCCTATCCTGCGTCCATTGTACAAAAGACTTCTTGGCAAGGACCCTTTGGATTCTTCGTACGACATGCACCATAGCTATGTTACAAAGACTCAAGTCTCGCATGGACGGACTGGTCCCAGATATGACGACTCTACGAGCGACAAGGCTGCCATTCTAACCAAGGATTCACTACCTGAGGAAAACTACTAGCACAACACGGTAAATCAATCTTACTTGGTGGATGAGAGCGATGCGCATCATCCGTGGTAACTGAGGTATACCACAAATGGAATTCATATAAAGGGTGCCTACTTAATCTAGCCAAAACACGAGAACAGACTACAATAGAAATTAAAATGGTCTCTCACCTTCCCCTCCCATAAGGTCAGGTTCTTTGGTTTGTTAAAAGCGTTTGTACGGAGTAGAGATGCAGGGATTCTGTATTGGTGGCCTCAGGCCTCATCCTTTCCGCCTCTTTCATCTTCTTTGATGTCTCACTTCTCCCCAGCTCCTTTTCAGTTATCCATATCAACCATTCCAACCAACTCTCGTTACAAATATACTTGCTTATTATTATTATGGCACCAGAAATAACTAGCTGGAATGATCTTACTAAAGTATGGGAGCAATGCAATGATGAAACAGGGGAAATACGCCAAACATCCTTCGCGTTGTTCGACAGCAACCAAAGCTTCTATTACGGCATGCTCGAAAGTCCCAAAGCCGAGATTACCTTCGTCCAGGTCACAAACACCCTCAAGAGTGTTCCCGATGAAGAGATATTCACACGGTGGCCGACTCCCGGGATTGAGTTGATGCAAGCCCCAGCAGCACTTAGCGAGAATCTTTACATCAAGCGACCAAATCCAGAAATGTACAAAGTCATGAAAGAACACAATGCATTGTCCCAACTGTCGGATTCCTTGCTAGCAGAGGCTAAAGTATTAGAGTCGCTTTCCCAGCACCCGCACCCGAACATAATCCGCTATTATGGTTGTCAGGTTCTCCGTGGGTACTTTATTGGACTTGTCATCGACAGATATCCACACGATCTATATACCTATGTCAAGAATCAAATCGGGTCAATTGAGAAACGACCTTTCCTTGCTGCCCTCGATTCCTCTCTCCGCCATCTTCATACACATGGATTAGCCCATAACGACCTCACTCCCCACAACATTCTGGTGAGCAGAGAGGGCATGCCTGTTTTGATTGACTTTGGCGGATGTCAGCCTATTGGAACATATTTGAAGTATGTTCGAGGGACTCGAGGGTGGATAGACGGAGAAATCAAGGACCACAATACATCGAAAAAGGAGCATGATGTTTCTGCTTTAGCCAAGATCAGTGCGTGGTTGGACAAGCCAGTGTTTAATCATTGATCCATGTTGTACCCACGGCTGGGCATGGGGTTTGAGGTTGGTCACCGTTGGTGCCAATGAAGCTTAGCTTGTGGGCCAACATCGTCCATTTGCAAGCCATTATTTCATAGGTCAACTTCAAAAAAATTTGGCGGACTCATATTTAGGATCTAAACTTGAGGTATGTGAGACTTGCTTCTTCGCAGTCTTTAGTTGTTCATCGTACTCTAAGCTCAAGTGGCTCAATTGAAACAAACTACCATCATCGTTAATAAAATAGTACCAGATCTAAATGCGTGCCAATTCCAATCAACCTTTCAGGACTTGCTGCTATTATAAAGAGCTTTGGCCAAGATATTAATATGCTATTCGATGGATCTATCGGCCATTGGTCCCGAGTATTTCGGATCTCGTCCGACGACATGACAAACGGAAAGTTGTTCGTTTGCTCAACCTGTACATTCTTTCGCCTCTTCTTTATTTTCCACTACTTTATCTAATCAAAATGTCTGTCCGTCCTATGAATATTGCTGTCCTTGACACCGACATTCCTTGCTACCCTGTCTACGCCAAAAGAGGATTGTACAGCTCACAATTCAACGTTCTTCTCACTGCCGCCGCAAATCGCATCAATGCAAGCGAATACCACAAGCGCAGAAGGCCTTTAAGTGTCCATATCACTGCATTCGACGTTGTGGGCGGGTCATTCCCACATCTCGAGTCTTTACGAGTCAGCCCTTGGTCACCAACAGAAAATAAACCCCCTGGCTTCCCAGGTCCTGTCGACGCAATTCTGGTCACTGGAGCCGCAGCAGCAGTATATGACGAATTACACTGGATTCCGGCCTTGCAATCTTTTATTGCGAGGGTATACGCCGACTATCCTATGGTCAAAATCTTCGGATCTTGCTTTGGGCATCAACTTATAGGCCAAGCCCTCCTCGCAAGTGACAAAAGCTACACGTCCCAAGAATCGTCATTTGAGATATCCGTCGAAGCTTCATCTGATGGTCACGAAATTGGCATACACCCTATCATCTTGAACCCGGCTTTTGCCTCCAACTTCCCACCTCTAGCTCGGTTCACTCCAGAACAGCCGTTCCATATTCAGGTCATCCACGGCGATGCCGTTATGTCTTCACCAGAAGCCACACTAGTTTCCCGGGGAAAGGGAACGATGTTGCCTGAACCGTGGCTCAATATCGGAAGCAGCCTCAAATGTCCAATTCAGGGCCTTTACAAACCCGGCCACGTTCTTACATTACAAGGTCATTTTGAATTCGATGCGTTTGCAGCTGCTGAGCTCTGTCATAAATTTGCCAACGAATTTAACTGGCCTGCAGATTTGCATGCCTCGTATCTAGAAAACATCAGGCGTTCTGTGGTGCCTGGTAAAGATGATGACGACGACTCCAAGGTCGCGGCGGAGGCAGTCCTTTTGTTTTTCGCGGGGGAAGACTGAACTTCGAGCGCAGATATCAATCCATCCTCGTGTTGATTGCATTGATTGCATTATCCAACGTTGGAAAGTGTTTGATTTTTTCTTTGATTGCGGGGCCCTCGGATGTCCAGACCGATATCCCCGCAGCCTCGGATGAACAGCCGATCCATAAAGTTCGACCTCGGGACGTCGTCACTTATGTGACTGAAACGTGACTATCAAATCGATATCAATATCAGCTATATGCGGTGATTTTACAATCATGGTAGGCTCCAATCCACGATCTACCAACGCGTAAGTTTGCAATGCGTCGTCTGCTTCTCCGGCTGTGGTGAGTCATGTATGATAACAGCTAGACAGATGCGAAACATGTCGAAGACGCAAAGTAAAATGTTCCGGTGATAAGCCTTGTCGTGCTTGCGTCAAACACAATTGGGAATGCACTTTTGGTCATTCCGGTCGCAGACGGTTTTCTGAAGCGTATGTTCATGTATATTGTAGGTCCTGGGCAGTTTTGCTGACTATCAACCAGCCAAGTGAAACATCTCTTGGAAAAGGTCCGAACCTATGAAGAGCAGCTCGGCTCCCAGCCTGTAGGGGGTCCAGCCTCTTCGTTACCTTCTCCAGTAGCACCAGATGAGACTCCAGGCCATCAATCTGCGCAACGAAGCTCTTTAACCCCCGGGAATCGAGAGCCCCCAAATCAGAGCCAAGATGAGCTATTATATCCCGACAACGACCCTGCTATAAGTCCAGGTAACTAGACATCGCTTCTGTCTTCCTAGTCTGCTTGCGAATATAACTGACTCTATGTGAAGCAACGGACCTGACATCCGGCCCTGCATTCGAGTCACAAGTCAGATCGCTTCTTGACAAGTCGCATTCCATTGACCGCAGTTTTCATGGATCAACTTCGAATTTTCAATATCGTGCTGATCGATTACCTCAGTGGACGTCGGTCAAAGAGCTCGTTGACAATGTCGCCGGAGTATCTTTCCCGTCTTTGGAGGAATCACAGCACTTGCTTGATCAATTCCTTTTTTATCTTGGCGTGAGCCAGCATTTCTTTGACCCACGATCTTTCTCAGACGATCTTATGTTGCTATTTCAAAGCCCGGAGACAAGGCAACAACAGATAAACTCTCCTTGGTTTACAGAATATCTTTTAGTCATGGCCATGGCAAAGCTAATGGATGTAAAACATCCAACATCACGGACACCTGGGGCGGACTTGTTCGCTGAAGCCTTGAAGCGTCTTCCTCCGTTGCATCATATGGGCGGGGAAGGTGTTGTCGCTGTCGAGATACTGACACTGATTACCACATACCTACAGTGGTGTGACCGTAAACATGATGCATATCTCTATGTACGTTATGCAAGGTCCACAATGTTCTTTTACAGTACCATTAACATGTGGTAGATTGGACTCGCACTACGACTTGCCATCGCTCTTGGGTGCAACCTACGGGAAGCCGACCAACGCTGTCTCCCGTCCCAGAGTGCCCACAGATTAAGACTATGGTGGACAGTATACATGCTTGACAGGTATGCCATTTTGGTAACCTTAGGAGCTTGGGGCCTAGCTTACACTTTCAGGCGTCTCTCATCAGGTCTTGGACTGGCTGCAGGGGCCGATGAACGGCAGTTACGCACTGAACTACCGCGGAATGCAATGGGGTTCCAGTCACCAATTGCTCTTGCAATTAATGTTCGTATCGCGCGTGTCACTGATGATATAATGTCAAGTGAGCTACCTACGTATACCCCATTGAGCTCTAACTCTGTGCTAATTGACCTCTAACAGCTCTATATGGTAATAAGTCAATAACCCAGCTGGAATTAGTCCGAAAGATCCAGCAAATTCTCCAGGAGCTGCATGATACGGGCCGATCATTCCCTAAATCTTTGACGCTGGACTTTAATCGACCTTTACAATCGGTAACTCGCACAGGTGCATCATTGTACCTAATGCTTTTCCAGGTGAGATTGTCCCAAACAGAATAAGTTATTGGCTTTTGTTCCTGATTTTTGTTTACCAGGCTATCATCCTATGCACACGGCCAATATTACTTCAAAGAGCTCGGTTTCGGGTTCAGAGCCAACAACAGCCACAATCACCTGATCCAGCACCTAGTATGCTGCTGCGGCTCTGTGATACATGCGATGAAGCAGCCACCAGAAGTCTCGCAATACTTGAATCACTTCGTCGCCAGCAAACTATCCGTGAGTTTTTCCAGAGCTCTAGCCAACGGACCCTTGTCCCCCTCCACATTAGTTAGGTTAGGTTCCATACGTTTGAGAGCTAACACATTACTCTAAGCCCGGTATGGATTTTTTGACCTGGATGCTGCATTCTCCGCTGCATTTGTTCTGGTCATGGTAGGCTTCTTAGACAAATCACAAACCCAACCACCGTTAGCGCTTGATCAAGCATCCAAAGTGCTCCAGTTTCTATCACAGTCCGGCAATCTGGCTGCCGAGCGACGACTGCAAGATATTGCACAATCTTATTCGCACGTTTGGCCGGACCACGTTTTCAATGCAAATGCCTCACACAGCGATGCAGCCTCCCGAGACAAGACCCAGACATATGCAGCAAGTCCAGGTTCAAGACAAGATGCGTTGTTGGCTCCTTCAGATCCCCCACCATATATGACTGTAGCTTCAAGTAGTCGGAGTGATCATCAAGATGAGATCAGATTACTTGATCCATGGTCTAATATGGATGTCCCAGACGCAGTGTTTGATATGCAGGGAGATTGGAATCTAGATCTTTCTGGGGAAGCGGAAGGAATTTATTCCAGTTTCCACAATCCGACATTGCCCCTGACCGGGGTTGACTACATCGATTGGTTGGAGATCGAGAAAGTATTTAATGGTCCATAGGAGCTAACATAATAACATCGTACACATTAAAGCACATGCAGCCATCTCCTATCACAATCTAAAACCTCCATGAGGATAATTTTATCGGGCTTGAATATTTCGCTTGTTTACTACAACACGCTTTTAACTACCCATGGCCACTATTATAGCCGTTATAGATCAGATTCAAAAGCCACGCCCACTTTTATAACTAATCCGATTTGTTGCCCTTTGCGAAATCCCGTTTTAACGATAAAGAAACGTTGGAGGGTTATGTGACAGTGATCCCTATAGTCGTCCGTATATTACTACACAATGTTTGAATCTGATTCTCCTTTAAGGACCTGAAGTCAGTCGTCGCCATATATTTGCACCTCTATAGAAATAGCCATCTTTCTCCTCTGATGAGGCCCAAGTTCCTATGCTTCTGTTGAAAAGAGAAAAAAAATACCCACATAGAAACCATTACTCGAGGTGATCTTCACTCTAAAGTTCCAGGCGTGTTTTGAATCACGTGATGGTACCAACATCTCACCGTTCCTATTCCTCGTCGGCAACATGCACAGCAGTTGGAGTCCGACCGTTTCTCATTTCGTCGCCTCAGGCATTTTGAGCCGAGCTTCGACTGTCTGTTTGGTGCCTTGTCGACTTCAAACCTCTCACTGTGCCGAAAATCTTACCACCAAACCCTCTGATAGCTTCCCCGCAATCGCGTCCCTCGCGCCGAACGATGCCCACACTCGCTGTATTCCCACGTGGATGAAGACAACAGTTTACACCAGGCCCCATCAGGCCGGCATATCGAGAAAAAGAGAGGACGCATAACATAATCACGGTATTGGAGTTGAACTCCAGAGGCTACCGCAAGCATGGAGGCCGACTGGGATGAGCTGTCACGTATCCCAATGCCGCCGCCGAGTCCGCATGCTATGCCAACTGTGGCAACGGCGACGGCATTTGACGATATGATGGAGCTTTTATGGACAGGCAATGAATACGTGAGTGCTGATACTGGCTGAACGATTTCCGAGGCGGGACGCTGACGAGTATGTTCGATTCGCCAGGGCAGGGTCTCTTCCTTTTATGGGCCGGAGCTGCAACGGTACACCTCTGTTCGAGCCCATCCATTATCTGAGGGTTCGGTACGGCAAATAATCTTCCACGAAAGAGGTGTGATTTCGCTATCATCAAGGAGTGTGCACATGATTACCCGACGAGGCTTGACACAGTGGCACCTTACTCACGATGAAATGGTTGACCTCCGCTGCATGAGCTTCACCGCCCAGACCAATCGGATCCTTGTCGCAGGTTCTCAGCGCGTGATGTTCACGGTAGATATTGATAAGGGCACAGTCGTCGAGAAGCTGCCCACCGAGCATGGGTACACAATGATGAAAAAGAGTCGATATCTCTGTGCTGCAACAGATACTGGATCCGTCAATGCCCTCAGTCTTTCGGACTTCAGTGTTGTCAAGTCATGGAAAGCCCACGGAACAGGTGTTAATGACATGGATGCGCGAAATGACCTGCTGGTTACCTGTGGCTTCTCAGTCCGCCACCTCGGATCCCCAATCGCGGACCCTCTAGCCAATGTTTATGACTTGAAAACCCTGACACCGTTACCTCCGATTCCATTCCATGCTGGAGCAGCGTACGTACGCATGCATCCCAAACTTCACACTACCAGCTTCGTGGCTTCACAAACAGGTCAACTCCAAGTGATCGATCTCATGAATCCAAATTCGGTCAACTTGAGACAAGCCAATGTGTCTCTTGTGCTCGGTATCGACCTGTCGCCATCTGGAGAAGCATTGGCCATCAACGATGCCGAATGCTCTATTCACCTATGGGGCTCACCTACTAAGATTCATTTTAATGAATTGAGCAAAGAGACAGAATTCGCCGATGTTTCTGCGCGGCCTCCTCAGGTAGATTGGTCTTCCGAATCTCCATTGAACATGGTTGGGATGCCTTATTACCACGAACGTCTCTTTTCTGCATGGCCAAGCCATTTGCTTTTTGAAGTTGGCAGTCCGCCGGCTCCGTTGGATCAGTCCATGTTGCCATATTTACGCCCCGCAGAGATGGGACACCATACTCCAAACCCGAGAAAGACTCGTCGATACCAAATAGAAAACACCCGGGCACTGACTACG